ATTTTTTAAAACCTATTAATGCCCATCTATTATCATTATTTATTCTATATTGAATCAAAATATTTATTTCTAAAACTTTTTGTAATGCCTATTCAATGCTTTATCTAACACGATGTTTTAACTGATCTTTTGGGGGGGGGGGGGGTATGTTCTCAGCTAAAATTAATGTGTGATTAATTGGTGATTTAATTAGATCTAGTATTAGATTAATTAGTATCTATTGGCTACATGTTACAGATGATTTTGAATATGAACGGGCCTCCTCAAATTAATAATTTTACATGTATTTATGTATTTTTGTATCTTGGATTGACTCCATTTATACAGGTAGAGGAAGACAAGTTGAACTAGAATCCTAGTAGTATCCCTGGAACATATTTTGTCTTTAAAAAGCAACCTTGTAAATAGAATTTTTAAAAATAATTTATTTGCAACAATTAATAAAATTACTCCAGACTTGACTCCAGCTTAAAGACTTCAGACTTGACTCGACTTCAGATGAAAGACTTGTGGACATGTCTGGTTATACCGTTCACTTTCACATTTTACAAAATTAAATGGTATGTCTGTGGTCTAATTCTCTTTCTTTACTCCCTTTTTCTCTCAATCTCCCTCATGTGTGTCATAAACACCACTGTTTTATCTCACATTGAGATGTAACCGCTAAGCTGATCACTGGTTTCTGTCACCTCCCAAAGCTCTGGGCCAAACTTTTTATCCTCCCAGGTCACCAAATTGTTCCAATTATTAGATCAACAGGAAATTCAAAGACTTCTGAAGGGAGCATCGACAAACGGCTGCTCTTTCCATCTTAAAGTCTGTGTTTAACACATCAGAGGAGGACCTTGAGCTAATGCATGAGTCATGATGATGACATTGCAAAATCAATACAGATGACCAAGTCATCAAAACACTATGACAGAAGATTATTGGTCTTACTGAGGTAAGGCAGATAGAAGAGGAATGTTTTTTTTTTCTAGGGTTTAAAAAAAATCCTATTGATGTGCCAATGGAACAAATTTATCAAGGTCATTTAAAAAAAAAAACTGCAATAGGTTTTAAACACACATGCACACTGGAGGAACCGCTCCGCACCTTCATCCACTGTCATGGATGCTTCAGAAATAATAACAGCCTTAGAGACACTGATGTAGAAAACAGAGGGCGAAAGAAGGCAGACTAAAGTTCAGACTCTCTGACATGTTTGTTTGTTTGTTTGTTTGTTTGTGTGTGAATAGCCTTGCTCCCTGCTAGGAGTCTTGCTGTCTTAGTCTCGCTCTCTAATTTGGCCATGTGTTTGTGTGTGTGTATTGACAGCCAATGCTGTGAGCATCTGGCCACGTGTCTCTTGTTATAGTAGTGCAGGAGTATGTATGGCGGCAGGATGACACACAGAGCTGGCATATTGTTGGCAGACCAGTGCCATGGATAGCTTGTGCTTTTGCATTCCTGCTTGTGTTTTTGGCAGTCATAGCAGTCCATTTAAGCCATTAAGTGGTTGTGTGTATCTAGCCATACTCCACAGTCACAGAGCACTTACTTTCCTTCAAACAAATGCATAGAAAGTCACATGCACGCATGTTAAATGTTTCAGTGGCCATGTGTATACTAAACCTTTTCACAGTTTGTATCGCTCTGATTGTCTGTTTTTGTGCAGACAGTCAGTCTGTGTATTAGCAGTGGGTCTTTATACATATTTATGCAAGTAGGTAGTGGCAGTTGCCTGTTATGATGTGAGTCACTGAATCATTTGTTCAACTGATTCGTTCGAAATCACTAATCCATACAGGAATCAAATAAATTACTTTCTTCATCGGTGAGCCATTTAAATAATTTTTCAAGTGATGTTTTTAAAAAACTGATTCATTCAGGAGTGAAACGAGTAATGCTCTTCATCTGTGATTCATTAATTTAACAGTTTCATTCATGAACACTGATTCAGGAATGAAACGAGTGACTTGATGTGTCCCAATTCACCTACTTATTCTGTGCCCTAAAAAGTATGTAGTCTTTTTGTGAAGAAAAAGTAAATACTTTTAAGCATGTAGTAGAGTTGGCTAAATTTGGGACAAATTATGTCATAAAATTTTACTCTGTTTTAGGGCTGGGCGGTATATCGAGTTTGTATATGTGCTGTCTTCCTGAATGCATAACTTACATTTCACAGGTATATTCTCTGTCTGTAAATGTTAGAAAGTCATGGAAGTCTTCACACAGACTTCAGTGAACGAGCGCCGCCGCGTGCATGCAAAATACAGAGATATGAATTTTTGCCCATATCGCCCAGCCCTACTCTGTTGCAGAGTTACATTCATTCTGTCAGTGTAAACTGGCCTTTCGTTCCTCCTGTCACTGTTCACATCCTTATATACACACTCCATATTGTATTTAATTAAATTTACACTAAACGAATTCCTCCTACCATATTGGAGAGAAAACAAGTAGCACATTGATCTGCCAGTATTGGTTCCTTTATGCGGAGAACTCTGCTCATGTTTTTGCAAAATTATGCATGTAATAGTACATATGTTTTGCTATTGTGCTGTTTGAATCTTTGTAAAAGTTCACAATGTTGTTGCAAATGAAATGTTGACACAAATAACATTAAATAAATACTATTCATCATGATTATTATTAACTCAAACCCCTTTGAGTTATTAATAAACAGTGTGTCTCTCCTCAACCTTTGATCTCACAAACATCAGCCATGTTTGTAGTTCTTTTTATTTGTGTTTGTAGTTCTGAACTGAATCCTCCTCCAAAGCACAATGGGTTACGGCCAATATTAGCCATTAGTGTGTACACAAATCCAGTCTTTAGAAATCTGCAAGAAATAGTAGACCACCTGGGGACTTTTGGCATACTCTTTTCAAAATGCTTTGCTGTATTCATCAGTAGCTGTTTCCATCAACCTGTTTTTATGTGCATTTTGAAGTATTGCCTCATGCAGGATCCATGCAGGATTTGTTCAGCTTGTGAAAATGCAATTAAAACAGATTCCTTCACTAGACAAATATGTGACTTTGGATCATTCCACTGGCTTCTTCCCATGCAGGATTTGTTCAGCTTGTGAAAATGCAATTAAAACGGATTCTTTCACTAGCACCACCACTCAGAAAACATTCAAAATTAGAGAGACTATCACTTGTTCATCGTCTTCTGTTATTTACCTTATTTCATGCCCATGTGGTCTACAGTATATTGGCAAGACTAATCGTCAATTAAAGACCCGTATCAACGAGCACAGGAGCTCTATTAGAAGGATGGACATTCATTCTCCTGTAGCCAGACATTTTATGGATGCTGACCATAAACTTAGTGACATGAGATTTATAGGTATTCAGAGATTGATTAGTTCAAGAAGAGGTGGTGATCCCAACAAAAGACTGTTACAATGTGAAGCTAAGTGGATCTATTATATGGACTGTGTATATCCGAAGGGATTAAATGAAGAACTTCAATTGTCTTGTTTTTTATGAACAGTACTTTTGTTAATTCCAACAGATAACCATTGTTCTCTTATTTGATGTAAATTATCCATTGCTCTACATATACACACATTGTGGTGTTTTTTTTGTTTTTTTTTTCTCTCGCTTGTGATGCTTCAATGTTTGAATGTGCGGACTCTTTTCAAGCTCTTCATCTCGAAGTATTGCCTCAGAAACGAGATGGAAACACCAAATTTCATTTTTTAAAAATCCCTTAATTCGCAAAGAAGTTTTTCCGCTCGCTTGAGATGATTTTTGACTTGTGCGAAAAAGAGTTAATGCGAATAATGGGAAATGGAAACACATTTGCTGAATAAATTCCTCCATGCGCAGCAAAAAAGTCATGTGACTTTGCACGATGCGACGGGATAACTTGACCTAACCAGCGGACCGATCTCGTTGCACAGCATCTGAAATGTTGTTCTGGTTGTTCTGCAAAGCCTGAGCCAAAGTATTTCTATATACTTGCCTCCCAGAACTGTCTTACACGACTGCATTCCCAAACAGCAGGCATCCACTTCGGAAAGCAATGACCACATTTATTGTATTTCTTCTGCTCACAAGTAATTTATTATATATGAAAATTATTATCTTCAGTGGCTGTCAGTTTATCAGGAAGTGATGATTTTATTCTCTTTGACTTGTTGGATGGAAACAGTGCTTTATTCTCAAATATTAAAATTTTGCGCATTAGTTAAATTTGCTCAAAAACTCTGATTCATTCAAGAATGAAAAAAAGTAACTGTATTCATTACTAAGTCATTGAATCATTCTACCGATTCATTCAAACACTCTGATTGATTCAGTAATGAAACGTGTCTTCAGAATCATTGAATCATTCGTTTAACCAATTTGTTAAAGGGGTGCTATTATGCTTTTTCACTTTTTGAACTTTAGTTAGTCTGTAATGTTGCTGTTTGAGCATAAAAAAGATCTGCAAAGTTACAAAGCTCAAAGTCCAATTCAAAAGGAGATATTTTATTTAACCGAAATCACTTTTCAAAAACTACAACGAACGACTCGTTTGGACTACAACGCATATTTTCTGGGATTTGTGATATCACAAATATCGACGAATGGGATTAGACCTGGTTGAGCTGAACTAGAGAAGGCAATGAGTGTTTATCACTATGTCGGAGACACGCTAGCTTTCCCAAGGCAGACTGATACAGGAACTATTCGAGCCGTTCATGCCAGACTGAGGAGAGAGGTGTTGTAATAATGTAAGATATGTGAAAAATAATGTGTTTTTCGAACAACCTAGTATGAGAGCCTGTTCTAGTACACCCCCAAAACAAAATCAAGACTTTGAAAAAGAGCATAATAGGACCCCTTTAAAAAATTGCTCAATAATTCAGGAACAAAACAAGTGACTGTCTTTGAGACACTTAATATTCTAATAGGTATTAATGAAAATTTAAAGCTTAACATTTTATATGCATATAAACCTGGTCACTTTTAATTGCATGTTTTCTTAGTAAATGTGATTGACTTTTTGTATGTGTGTTACAGGGTGCCACCATAAAGAAGGATGAACACACTGGAGCAATCATAGTGGCGCGCATCATGAGGGGCGGGGCAGCAGACAGAAGTGGTGAGCGCTGATTCACCTTTTCTCTCTATACACAAATGCACTCTAACAGCACCCAGATGTTTAGTTTGTTTACACAAAGCCTGAGATGGTTTATTACACTGAATAAACTGCTAAAGTACTGTATGTGGTCTCTTAACTTTTTTTTTTGTCCACTCCTCTTTGTTGTGTCCAGGGCTGATACATGTCGGAGATGAGCTGAAAGAGGTCAATGGTATCCCTGTAGATGACAAAAAACCTGAGGAAATCATTTGCATCCTGGTATGTGCATGTGTCTGTGGAAAGTCAACATGAAACAGCATGTTTAACTTTTGTAGTATAACAGAATGCTGTGAAAAGGGGATTTTATCCAAAGGGAAATGTTTGGACTGTTAATGTATGAAACATTATAGGCTGTGAAGTTAATGTTGAAGTTGGTTAATATATCCCCCCTGGCTATTTTAGCAGAAATAAAATGTAAAAAAAAAAGTTTTAGAACTAGTGGAAGTTAATCTTTCATAATATAGTATTATCTATACGTAATATAGAATTAAGTGAATAATGTTCACTGGTGCATTAATTTTGTCTTTTTATATCCTTAAAAGGTTGTTGATATGTTGTCTTTTTTTTTACTCCGTTTATAGTCCCAGTCGCAAGGTGCCATCACGTTCAAAGTAGTCCCAGGCATCAAAGAGGAGGCACAAAGCAAAGAGCCCAAGGTACAATTCATTCTCACTATTGCCGATCAGACATGAACAGTTTAGGAGAAAGAGTTGGCCTATATGGGATGTTCTATTCAGACAGTGGGGGAGTTTTCCCCTGTACGAGTACCACGGGCTGCTGGTTTGATGGATAAGCTTTTGTTCCCATTCATCTTCAACACAAATGATTTGCACTAAACCTCTCAGCTCCCCGTCCAGCTTACAAACATTCTCTGTCAATCTGTTCCTAAACCAAGTGAGCTGTCTCACAGCCTGCTGTCTACATGAAACCTCAATTATGACTGATTTGAAATGCTGTACGCAGCAACACTCACTCGCATTGCACAAATAGCACTCTTCACGTGAAGCCTGCAAGAAACTCGAGTCAGAACTGTTAACTCCTGATTAATTCCAATAGAATTAAGAACATGTTGCTAAGCTAAAGATATGATGCAATTAAAGACAAAACATAGATCGCATGCACAATATTACATAAAATTAAAACGTTTTGGTAGTAATTATCTACAGTATACTTTTTAGCAAAGTTTTGTGATGCATTCTGAGATTGCTTTATCCTTGAAGAATAAATGAAATGCTGACTGAAATTTCAGTCAAAACAACATAGATGTAAATTAACATAATTGTGCCTAAAATGTTCCCTAGGCTGAAAAGTTGTAAAACCAAAAGTGCACGATAAATAAAGTTATTGTCTCCCAAAAGAAAGAATTGACTCTGAACAGCCTAAACGAGTCATCAGTAATTCGAATCCCACTTCACATTTGCACATTTGGTAACATATTTGCATAATCCCTGCCTATGTTTTACGCTGGCTGGCCGCTGGCCCGCCCTCAAACACTGTGGTTTGTTTGCAATGGGCGTATCATTTCCAACACACGCTGTACGCAGTAGACCAGTCACAACAGACTGGGCCATCTGACCAATTAGAGCAGAGCAGGCTCACAGAAAGGAGGGGTTTAGAGAGACTGAATTTTAGAACTTCTTCGAATTAATCGTTTGAGAATCGTTGGAAAATGATTTGATATTAAAGGCATATTTTGAGAAAAGGAAAGAGATTTTGACCGTGCATGCATGTAAACCTATTAAAGGAGACTCCTAAAACAATATTAGGAACCTTTTAAATGGCATAATTGGGGCACTTTAATATTTTTGGAATACCATTATACGTTTTTTTCTTTGAATAGAAAGCTCAAAAGAATAGCATGCATTTTTAATACATAGAAACCTTTTTTAACATTATAAATGTCTTAACTGTCCATTTTTATATATATTTTTAATGCATCCTTGCTAAATATAAGTGAATAAATTTCTTTAAAAACAAAAATCTTGACCACAATCTTTTGAGTGTTGTGTTATAAGTGAGGACTGTACCATTTCTTTGCAGGTCTGTTATATTCCTTTTGCTGTGCTGTAATGGTTTAAATATGTTTCAGTTTTGAATTCAGTCTGCAGTACACCCGCATGTGTGTGTTATCCAATGACCATAGTTTACGGTTTTCCGCACATGTAATGAATATGTTGAAGTGCTGCTAATTGGCTGCACATGTGTAAGAGGGATAAAAAAATGATGGAGTGCGAGACCGAGATGAAGCATTCCCTCAGGATGTATTGGTGTGTTTGTGGGGAACGTTCTCCTCTATAACATCATTTTTCTGTATGGCACAGGCAGCTCTCTAAATCAACACAAGCCACTGCTCTCCGTTTGCTCTCAATAACCCTTTACCTTCTTATTTGTCTTTTTTGCTTATTTGATATGTCTGCACAATCACTCTAATCCTTTAAACACCTCATGATGTCCTTTGTTAGAGAAACGCTAATGACAATCTCACAGAATTTCCAATTGTTGCATTATAGTGCGTATGTGTGGAAAGTAAGCCTGTCTGCTACCCAAAATACACCTTTATTTGGTCATGGTTTAGTGAGAGGGGTGGAGCAGATGTGATTTAAATTTCATCCTTCTCTAATTTCATTTTAATCCATTTAATGGTGTTCATTTTAAAACTGTTTCTCTCTCTCTTGCTCTTCAGATGTTTGTAAAGGCGCTTTTTGACTACAGTCCAGCTGAGGATAAGGCGATCCCTTGCAAGGAGGCAGGCTTGGCATTCAGAAAGGGAGATATCCTGCAGGTTATGAGCCAGGACGATGCCACCTGGTGGCAGGCCAAACTAGAGGGTGATGGCAACCCGCGCGCAGGACTCATCCCATCCAAACATTTTCAGGAGAGGTTAGCCAATGCTTTTCTCTCTTCCCTGCTCCTTTCCTCCCACTATCACCAGTTTTAAATTCAACAGTACTCCATGACTCAATCATCCTGTCCGCCCTCTGTCCAGCCCCCTCATATATCATATTTTCCTGTCATGCATGCATCTCTCTGTCTCTCGATCATTCCAGACTTCTTCCACTCCATTACAACCTGACTTTCACTCCCTACTATGAAAGGAATTACTTTTCTGAGTTTTTTGTCTTCCTTGTCATTTTTTTCCCTTTTTGTGCAAGAGGGCTCGGCCAAAATACTTTGGATTTCCGTGGCTGTCTGGGCTGGAATGAGTAATGACAGACAATGATAGCACTGGTTCACATCCACTTTGGACGTCCACACTCGGAAAATTGCACATCAGTGGCGTTCTTCGTAAAGTGGGCTCTGACGTGCATGCACATGTGTGCTGCCTTAGGAAATAGTTTATTTGCTCTGTTTCTCTTGAAAAAAGTAACTTTCAATTGTAAAACATATTTTTGAACCTGTCAAATGTACAGTAGCAAGTGCTGTTTCTGGCTGACCATTCTTTCTCTCGCTCACACACATACTCACTCACTCACTCACTAATGGATACTTAGGCAGGTAGCTCTGCATTGTAGTTAAGTGTTTAGTAATCCCCATACGGTCGTAAAATCTGATGGTTTTATTGCATGTGTCTGTGGCTGTGCTCACAGAAGCAGAATAGGCTTGTCAGTCTGGTTTAGAGTGTTAAATTTCTAATTATCAAATTACTTTTACACATTTTGGTTATAAACAGAAGTGACAAATGTATTAGATGGCCAGACTGACACCCTTACATTTTCATCACACATTGCCGTCGGTTGATTCAGATTTGTTGGATGAAATTGCTTCTCACTCGTATCAGTTAGTAAATACATTTGTCAATCCCAAACACTGACTTTTTGAATGTAGACTATTTATTTGCCTCTCTAGCTCGTTATCTTTCTCCCTCACTTTTTTTCAGGAGGTTTGCAGTCTGGAGACCCATGACCGTCACGACTCTTCAGAGAACCCCCAGCAAAAGATTTTGTAAGGACCACACTCATGCAATCATGCAGCAACTAACCACTGAAATGCACACATACACAGCAGGGCTCAACAATAATGATTTTTTTTCCTGCTAGTCCAGTCAGGCTATTAGTTGTGGCCTTACTATAAAATGATTATTGATTTTTATTATTAACAGTGTTTTGTTTTCTCTATTTATATTTAATATTTTTTATATTTCTTATTCCTTAATATTTCTTATTTAAATATACGTTTTTATTTTCATTCACAAAAGTTTAACAAGCTGTAGCTTACAGCTTATACAGATATAATGTAACATTCATAAACATTTTGCTGGAAAATGATAGCATATGATGCAAAACATTACTGATCAGTTTGTTTTCAGCATTTTTACTGGTACTTTCAAGACTGTCACAAATCTTTTTTTTTTTTTTTCAATTTTGACAAAATCTCACCCATGTTGGCAGCTAGATAACAACATTATCTTGGTGACAGATCATCATAATGCAAAAATGGTGTTGATTTATTTACAGAGATACAGAAACAGTGGTTCTCAACCAGAGGTCCGGGGTCCACCAGGGGCCTTCAGCAAATTTTCAGAGAGACTAAAGGATGACTAAAAAGCATTTAAAGTAATCATTTTTTGTTAGTATTTAAAAAAAGTCTAATGTAAATGTAAAAAAACTACAACTATGTAAGCATTTATTTTTTCCCTCCCTCAATTTCTATTGTTCTTATTGAAGAACATGCAGTTCTTAAAATTTCTGGAAGCACAAAGTGAATCATGGTTAATTCATTTGATATATCAGTACTCTCGGTTTCTGTTCATTAAAAAGTTGAAAATTAGCAGCTTTGTCATAATTCTGGTAGAAATCCCGGAAATATCATATCCTATTTGGGTGGAGGGGGGTCTTTGAATGTTATGTTGGGCAGCGTGGGGCCACTGGTGTAAACGTTTTTGTTCAAGGTCAATGAATGTAAAAACTTTCAGTGGTAATGAAAAAAAACCTTCTCGCTGACCTCAGGCCAGCAAACTACCTTATTGTTGAGCCCTGTACATACTCATCCTTTTGTTCCTGGACTACAGCAGAAATCATTTTTAAACTGTTGTAAGCAAGAGGCCCGTGTATTGCAGATGCTGTGACGTTACTATTTGAGTAGAGCAATGGCTAGAAAAAAAGAAGAAGAATAGAAGGAAAAGATTAGATGAGAGGTTGGGAAGTGCAGGGTGAAGTGAACACGGTCAGGGAGCCCAGACTCCCCTGATTGGTGCCAGGCAGATATCTGCACATGTGTATTCATGTACATGTGCATTAATGCACACCTGGACATAAGCTTCCTCTCCTGGTTTCCATTAATGTCTGTTGTCTGATTATTGTATGCTTGTGTGCGTGTATTTGTACACCACAGCTCTAATCTCTCCCACTGGCTGATAGCAGGGGTCTTTACGGAGCTGTGCTGGGTTACTCTCTACACATGGGCACACTTAAAACTCACCACGAGACAGATGCACAGCAACACTCTCGACATGTTGCCTTCATCTGTACAGCTACACACACACTTGATTGAATAATACAGCCACTCTGGATTCTTTTCCCCCATGCCACATGTTTGGCCTCCCACCTCTTCCATTTTTCTCCATCACTCTATCAGCTGCTTAAAACAATGAGAAGGAAAGGGGGACCCAGGGGTCGTGAAACTGCCGTCGTCTTTGCAGACTCTTTACATTTCACATAACAAATAAGCATAAGTAAAATTAAAGTGCTGCTTTTATTCAGCTTTTCAAGTGTAGAATTTTTCGGAATCACGTCACATATGGGAATTTGTCAGAAAAACTTAAAACTCCATGTATGACTTGACCAGAAACAGACCAGATACAGTACCAATCCAAATGTGTTCCCACACAGGTATAGATGCTTATATGTGTGTTTGGAAGAAAGAGAGTTGTTTGTTTGAAACTGCATCAGCGTGTGCTTTAAGAGTAAGACCATCTGTCTACAGGCCTGCAGTGAAGTTGAGGTGAGGGGCTTTCTTTGGATGACTGAACACACGCTAGTGCTTTGCACCGCAGATATGTGCACTCAAAGCCTTACTTATCAGAACGGCATGATTAGCTGTGGCTAGCTAGCTAGCTGAGGCTGTATGTCATATCCATTACAAACTGCACACCCCTGGACAGGTACAGAAAGTAAAACTTTCAGGGTTTCCACAGTCATAGAAAATTTTAAAATCATTTACAAATCATGGTTTTCAAGCATGGAAATGTCATGGAAATTAATCTTAGTACGTTGTACGTTGACTTTCACAGTTGTTCATAGTTCAAAAATATTTATTTGGCAAAAGTATTTTTTAGAGATTAAATTAATTTAAGTCATTATCCAGTAGATGCTCATAAATGACTTAAAAAAGGGGTTAAAAGGGCTGGGAACACAGTAATTTATACTGTAGTTGAATTGTGTACATATAGGTTGGTCTGGTGTAGGTTAATGTTAAGGGATGGTAACTAGAAGGTTGCTGGTTCAGTCCTCACAAGGAACGAGCACCGTCATTCCCCTAAACAAGGTACTTAAAGTTGGCTTGAAATGTAAATTCACTCTTCTTGTTGTTTAAATGAATCTTTATGATCCTATTGTGAACAATTCATCCATGTATAGGTTTCTTTCTTTTTTTCTTCTTAATCAAAATGTAATAAGTCAGTTTTCCAGTGAGGCAGACTTTGTTATAATAGACTGCAAGCTTGCATTCCGATCTGCATCCATCCAGTCAACAACCGATAGAACCAAATCTATATTTTTTTTTCTTGCTTGATAATCCCTTTTACACAGAAGTGTCAAATCTGCAATCTTCCAGTTACCATCCCTGAAAATTATTAATATGTGTTTTCTATAGACTAGTCAGTTAATGTCTGTTTGTATTGTTTACAAGTGGATTCCTCTTAATACATCTTGTCTCATCGTCATCTCTTACAATTAACTTTTCTTTCTTCATCTTGCGTCTTCATGAGAAAAAAAAGTGTCTTCTGGTTACACTAGCTGCATTTACATGCAACCTAATATCAGTTAACCCTAATGTCTTGAAGACCACTGATCACAAGCTTCTTGTTGTTATTGTAGTGTTGACATTGCACGTGGAACCATTTTCTTTGGAATATATGTAATGCCTATGCTAACTGATATATTTACATTGAATAGGGTGCATATAAACAGTACATTTGGAATCTACAGTGGGATTGATGTAAATCTGTGTATGTAAACATAGTGAGTCTGTAGCTCTATCCTGCCTGTTCACATGCTCTGGTTCGTGCCCTTTGTTTGTTTGACCAGATATACTTTCATACTTTCAGATATACGTTCTGTCATCATTGTAGATATGGAAACAACTTGCACCCCTTTAATGTACACTCACCATCCCCACTTATTTGAATTAATCATCTGTTCTAGATTCATTTATAAATTGTTGTAGGCAAAAGGCATCTAATAATCAATCTTGTTTCCATATTTGCTCTGTCCAATTTATATCTGTGGTTGCAATTTTTTTTTTTTTTTTTGGTGCTCTGTGACCAATTATCATTTTTAAAAAATGGATCTTGGGACACGTTTTACTGTTCTTTATGATTTAAAGTTATTTTTTGTTTCAGTTTCTCTGAAAAACACTGTCAGTAATTATGACAGACATGACAGTTATCCATTTTCACCTGTAAATCATACCCATTTACTTAGCATATTTTTTCTTATCCTAAGCTTAGTGGCCTCGCTTCTTGTCCCAGACCTTAAACATGCCCTTATATCTGCTTTTCATTTTCTTTCTTTTTTTCTTTTTTAATTCATTTAGTCTTTTTTGTCCTTTGGGTCACACCGACAAGAAGGCAGATGCTTAAGGATTCACTTGACTGATAGCACACAAAAGATTTTTCTGCCCTCCATCCTCCTCTTCATGGTATTGCTTTTTTGGCAGGACTGTGTGAATGTGTATGGCAGGCTGTGTAGATGCTGCCCTTTGCTCGTGTGTGTTTTGATTTAAGCTTGTTTAGTAGAATTGAGACCACATGAACTGGAGGAAGCTTTTAAAGGGACTCCAAATGTTCTCATGTCTTCAGGCCTGCACATGCACACTCAAAAGCACACTTTCTCTGCTGTTATGAACTATGTTAATTGTTCGGTAGTTACAGTTACCTATGAGGTAAGCAATGGTTTACCACTTAGTAGCATACTAAAGACTTTTCATAGAAAACAAACATGGAATTTTACATTAGTTTGACATCTAAAGGAATAGTTCTCCCAAAATTGAAAACTGTGATAATTTCCTCACCCTCATGTTGTTCCAAACCTGCATGACTCACTTTTTTGTGTGAAAAAGAATACTTTTTGTAGAACATTGAGGTTAAAACCTCATTAGACCCCACTGTCTTTCATTAAAACAGTAGATAAAGTAAAACAGGTTTGGAAAGACATTTTTGGTTGAACTGTCCCTATAAATTTTAAAGTGTATTTCAAACATCATGTTTGTAATGTGTACTTCCAGTCACATGACTGTATCTTTCCTTTTAATTTTTTCCTTCATAAGATGATGAGACAGTTGAATGGGGTAGGTCAGTTTCTTCTTCCTCCATTCTTTTGCTCTCCTCATCCCTCTCTTGATCGGTTTTTAATCTTTTTATGTTTATTATATTCCTTTCTTTGCTTTCCCAGTGGAGGACATTGAAGGTACACCTTTCAGACTAACTCTGATTCACCTATTAGATGTCATAGCCATTAGATCATTGGCTGGGGACCCCTGTATGTGGTAACAGAGTACCAAACAATGAAGATACGGTTTATTAGCATTCATTGGACCACAACTACCTAATGGAGCATAGCAGAGTGTGTAAAGTGGCCAAGAGTTCACTATACTGTATCTCTCTAATACACAAAGACACACACACTCACAGGCACACAATACATAACTGTTTGCCTTTCCAACTACGCCTTACACTTTAAATGATATTAGTATAATGAGTGCTCAGATGAATCCCATCCATTTTAGTCTTTCTTTATGATAGACCGTGTGAATGTGAGTTTGAACGCGAATGTTTCCCCCAGTATATCATAGTCTTATTGTTGTGTAAGATGCAAAAGATGTTTTGAATAACTTCTTTTATCCCATCTGAAAGACATGTATTGAATACTTTGTGTTGTGTCTAATAGACAAAAGAAATCTAAAGTTTATGGCCCACATGGAAAGTTGTGAATGTTGAATGAGAACGCTGCCAGTAGATCTGTCCACCTGGCTGTAAAGGATCAGTTGATGAAGAAATATGATAGTTGTGTTTGAATGTAAAATACACAACTGTTCAATAGTTTGGGTTTGGCTATATTTTTGAAAAAAAGTATCTTATGCTCACCAAAGCTACGTTTGTTTGATCAAAAATTTAGTAAAACATTTTAATTACAATTTAAAATAACTGTTTTCTATTTGAATGTATTTTAAAATGTCATTTATTCCTGTGATGACAAAGCTGAATTTTCAGCAGCCATTATTCTAGTCTTCAGTGTCACATGATAGTTCAGAAATAATTCTGAAATACTGATTTCTAACATTTCTGGTTATTATCAATTCTGAAAACAGTTGTGCTGCTTAATATTTTTGTGGAAACCACACTCTCAGGAAAAAAGAGACGAAAGCTGGCACTGGGGAGGTACTTTTTCAAAAGGTACACCTTTGTAGTTTGTACCTCATTTACCCCTAAAAGGTACATATTTGTACCTAAAGGCTGCACATTAGTACCTTAACGGTACATGTTAGTACATTTTGAAAGGGTACCACCCCAGTGACAGATTTTGTACCTTTTTTTTTCTGAGAGCGCATGGTGCATTTTTCCCAGGATTCTTTGATGAATAGAAAGTTTGAAAGAACTGTATTTATCTAAAATAGGATTTTTGTTTAACAGTATAAAAGTCTTTAATGTCACTTTCGATCAATGTAAAACATCCTTGCTGAATAAAGTATTCATTTATTTTAAAAAATATTCTTACTGACGCCAAACCTTTGAACGGTACTGTGATCGCTGTCATTTTTATTTATATACCTATAAGCTGAATTGACAATCTTTTGTTTTGTTCATCTTTCAGTCTGTATAGTAGTGTTCCTAACTTCTCTCTAATATAAATCTATCCTGATTCCTTCTGCCTTTCATAATTTGAAGAGGACACTGAGTTTGCCTCCTATTTAAGTGGACTCCATATTGGTGAGCTTTTTTTGATTATGCTTGATTGTGTTTGTCCTCTGTCCCATATCATTCCTCACTTCTGTCTGATTCATATTATTGATGAATCCCGTTATTATTGATTATTGAGTTTATCCCGTTCTGAGTCATTCTCTCATAACAGTTTCATGTGCTGTTAGCTCTCAATCTCCTCCCTCTCTCCTTCTCTGTGTCTGCAGACAAGAATCTTTTTTGACATGTGGCTGCACGCTGTTGCATGTCCTATAGTATCATTGTCTAGCTTCCTTCTGGCTTTACATATCTCTTCATTTATAAGTGGTAGCAGTCTGCGTTTTCAGTCTGTTTTTTTTTCTGCAGTAGTTGTCACAATCATTACCATGTGCTTTGTACGTTTTATCTAAGATTGACTTTGTTATTGTTAGTAGTGATTCCTGAGTGTTGTTCAGTCTAACTGAAATATCTGATATCAGTGATATATAAGTAATCGTTGTTGTTTTTTTTGTCCCAGTCCTGTAGTAAAAAAAAAAAAACAGCCAAATGTGCACTCGTTTCTCAAACAGAGGTCCTGAGCAGCTGAACTTTCTGATTTTTCTGTGTGTTGGCAGTGTTTTTAGTTTAAATAGCTCTTTGTGAATGTTAAACATATTGCAGTTAAAGGCACTGGTTCATTTCCAGGCTTTCTGGTGGAGGTCCGGCGGACTCTTGATGTGGTGTGTGTTGGACATTGGGCTGTTTGAAGGCCAGCACTCAGTCAGGCCTTAGTCTGGTTTCCATCTCTAGCATCAGTCTGTGGAAAATGAGTGTGGCGTAGCGTTCTCATTATCTGTCACCACACACACTCATGTACTCTGTATGCCCGTCTGGGGCAGCTCTGTTCAGTGGCCACAGAAAGTAGTGTTTCCGTGGATCCTTAAGTATTAAATATCTCAAATAGTACAAAAATCATTTATCATTTGCTTCGGTTTCAGTTCACGGCAATTTCCCCTCAGTGTTCTGTAATCACTCCATTCCATTTCCACTCCAGGTTTTCCATTTCACCAATTGTTTTTTTTTATTCCTCCATTTCAATGAATCTGTCAGTATAATGTGAAGGTAAATGTTGTTTATTTGTATAGATACTTTGTTGTTCAAAAGTTAGGGGTAAGATTTTTTTTTTCAATGTCTTTCAGAGAAGTCTCATGCTCACCAAGGCTGCATTTATTTGGACAAAAATACAGTAATATTGTGAAATATTATGGCAATTTAAAATTACAGTTGTCTATTTTAATATATTGTAAAGTGTCATTTATTTCTGTTCAAAGCTGAATTTTCAGCAACCATTACTTCAGTCTGCAGTGTTATGTTTCATTTCATTTCATTTAGTCATTTTGCAGACGCTTTTATCCAAAGCGACTTACAATTGGGGAATACATAAAGCGATTCTTCTTAAAGAGGCAAACAGACACAGGAAGTGCTTGTAATACCAAGTTTTATGCATTGTTCAAAGCTAGTACAAGCTAGAAAGGGAAGGAATAAATAGAGAAAGACAGAGTTTTTTTTTTATTTATTTTTTTTAGGATGAAGTCAAGTAGCGTCGAAAGAGATGAGTTTTCA